GATAGTGAGAGTTGGTTGGCTGCGATGGGGGAGGAGATGGAATCTCTTCGGAAGAACCAAACATGGGAGGTGGTCCCATTGCCCGTAGGAAGAAAAGCTATTGGTTGTAAGTGGGTGTATAAGAGAAAGGAAGATTCTTCAGAGCTCGGTGGTACAAGGTACAAGGCGAGGCTAGTGGCTAAAGGGTTTGCACAAAGAGAGGGTGTGGATTACAATGAGATATTTTCTCCGGTGGTGAAACACACTTCTATTCGGGTGCTATTGAGTATTGTTGCTCATGGTGATCTTGAGCTGGAACAACTCGATGTTAAAACGGCCTTCTTGCACGGAGACTTGGATGAAGAGATCTACATGCATCAACCTGAGGGTTACAAGGTTGAGGATAAGGAGCATCATGTATGTCGCTTGAGGAAGTCACTCTATGGACTGAAGCAATCTCCTCGGCAATGGTACAAATGATTTGACTCCTTCATGCTAAAGCATGGGTTTTCCCGAAGCGATTACGATTGTTGTGTTTACATTCAAAAGCTTCGTGGAGGTGATTATATCTATCTCCTTTTGTATGTGGATGACATGCTTATTGCTTCTAAGAGCGGGGTGGAGATAGATAGGCTGAAATCTCAACTTGGTAAAGAGTTCGAGATGAAGGACATGGGCGCTGCTAGGAAAATACTGGGTATGGAGATTAGAAGAGAGCGGGCGAATCGGCGATTGTTCTTGAGTCAGAAGGGCTATATAGAGCGGGTGATCGCGAGGTTCGGGATGCAAAGTGCTAAGTCGGTGGTGACTCCATTGGCTCCACACTTCAGGCTTTCAGGTAAACAATCTCCCACTATAGCGGAAGATAAGGCACACATGGAGCGTGTTCCTTATGCTAGTGCAGGTGGCAGTTTGATGTACGCCATGGTGTGTACACGCCCTGATATTTCACAAGCGGTTAGTGTGGTCAGCAGGTTCATGGCGAATCCGGGAAAGGCGCACTGGGAAGCGGTGAAATGGGTCCTGAGGTACTTGAAAGGTACCGCAGATACGGGTCTGTGTTTTGGTGGAGATACATGTCAGATTGACGGGTTTGTTGACTCTGATTATGCGGGCGATCTAGATAGACGGCGATCTAATACTGGTTATGTATTCAAAATACATGGAGCTCCAGTTAGTTGGCGATCGATGTTGCAGGCTACAGTGGCACTTTCTACTACAGAGGCCGAGTACATGGCTATGGCGGAGGGAGTGAAGGAAGCATTGTGGTTGTGGGGTCTTCTAGACGATTTGGGGATTGAGCAGGAGAACGTGAACTTGTGGTGCGACAGTCAAAGTGCGATTCACTTGGCGAAGAATCAAGTTCATCATGCTCGTACCAAGCATATCGATGTCAGGTATCATTTTGTGCGGGATGTCATAGAGGAAGGTGATATTTCTCTCATGAAGGTGCACACGAATGAGAATCCAGCAGACATGTTGACCAAGGTGGTCACAGGTAGCAAGTTTAAGCATTGCTTGGACTTACTTCATATCAGCCCATGTTGATCTGCCCAAGAGGGCATGACCCTTCGGGGCGGTGATGGGGTGAGGTGGAGACTATATGGAGAACAAATCCTGAACTACGGTTAGCTTGATCCCGATGGAGGGTACGTAGGCAGCAACGGTAAAGTGGCGCAGCTAGTTTGGCCTGGTTTGGCTGATGGTGATCTCTCTGGTGATGTTCGCGGTGTTCTTCTGGTGTTCGTCCAAAATTTGAGGTTTATCAAATGATGTACGAGGTGGAGAATTGTGAACAACGGTGTTAGCATGGGGACCACATAACCATTCATGCGGTAAAGAAGAAGCGGAAGTAATTCCAGCAGGTAAAAGCCAAGGCCCATTTATTAGGCTTATAACCGCATCAATCTCCTATATAAGCCTAATGTCCCTAGGGTTTTCGGTTGTGTGGGAAATCAAAACGCAAGGGAACAGCGGCTTGGTGAAAAGCTGCTGGGAAAAATCGCAAAAGTCAGAGAGGGATTTTGTTTTCTTTTGGCGGCTGAGCAGAGGGAATTGCTGGTGTTTGTTGAGAGAAAAAGAGAGATTTTGAGGAGAGAAAAAGAGGGATTTACAAAAGAGAGGTTAATTTCTTTTGGGTAAAAATTAGATCTTTTTCTTTCAGACGAGCTTGTGGATTGTACAAGTCGTCGGTGTTCTTCTCATAGTGGAATCTCCCCTCACCCCTCCCGTGGACGTAGGCAAGTTTGCCGAACCACGTAAATCTCGTGTATTTAATTTACTGTTTTCTGGGTTGTTGGCTTTTGCTTGTAGGATCCCTCAAAATTCGGTCTTAGAGCTGATGAGAGGAAGAGTGTATATTTCACTTTGATGAAATGTATCACTTTCGATTCTTGTTTCCTTTGAGAAATAAGAATTTCATTATCTATTCTCGTTTCCTTTGAGAAACAAGAATATAGAGGTTGACTTGTGCTTTTGTGAAAACGAATGCCAGGGCTATCTCTCAGGTGATATCGCTTCCGCGTGGGCGTGACTCTGCGCCCAACACATATCTATATTGTAATGTCCTTCTAACCTCTATTTAAGAGAGGTTAAGGTCACATGAATAATATCTTGGTTTTTTCTATTTTTTTAAATGGTATCATAGCTATCCTCTCAATCCTAGAGAGGCCTCTTTTTTCATTGTCTACACGAAGCGGCCGAGGAGGTTTTTGCTCAAAACTTCGTACTCCCCCTTGGCGACTCATCATCGAATCACTATGCACATGTTACTGTTCATCAGCACTGTTTATTCATACTATGGTACTATTCATATCCTGGGATTATTGTTCACACACGGATTACTGTTCACGGTCCACTCTGATCAGAACCGATTCAGCTCTCGTTTGTCGTCATCGATCTGTGATTTGTTGATCTCATTGATATTTGTTCGAGCCCGAAGTCAACTCCACCTCTTGGATCATTTGTTTGTTAGATACTTAAAAAGAACTATTTGTTATGGCATCCTTTAATAAAGGATCATTTATTGCTAAATCCTTAAAGAATGATCACTTATTATTGGACCCTTTAGAGCCCGTTTGGATCGGGTATTTTGAAGGGGAAATAAGGGGGAAAGCTGACAAATTGGCAGCTTTCCCCTTCTTTTCCCCTTCAAAATACCCGATCCAAACAGCCCCTTATGGAATGATCATTTGTTATTGGATCCTTCAAAGAAGAATCATTTATTGTTGGATCCTTCAAGAATCATTTGATCGGTGGATTCTAGAGGAGATTCGCTGATTTGAAAATATCCAAGTGAAAGATAAGGAGATTAAGGCTACTTTGAGTTTTTTGAAGCATCGTCACAGATTAAAGTGTGTGCACTTTATTTGTAACAAGCTGGACATGCATGATATACGTGCTCTAACTTTAAGGTAAGTGTTAAGGACTATATTATGAGATATTGGGAAATATGATTGGATATAATTTTAGCTCATACCTATTTTATAATATCCTCCTAATCTATATATAAGAGAGTTAGGATTAGATGAATAATATCTTAGTCTTTTCCTATTTCTCTACAGTCTTTTTCAAAATTTTATATAAAATTATTATAGTTAGAAAATAACTCGATCTGCTAGTATCTAAGAAGCAAAAATTAACAATTATATCCAAAAGAGTGCCAATCGAAATCATTATATAAGAATTATTCGTTATGTGATGCAAGGAACATAAGCTTTTGTTAATATAAAAGAAAAAGGGGGAAAAACAAAGAACACGTTTTTGTGATGGATTGAGTTTGCCAAAATGAGCACATTGGCATAGATAATATCGAAACCCACATGACTAGAACATTCAATACCAATAAATAACACGTTTTTGTGACTGGAACATTCAATAAATTTTTAAAAACTAATTGATTTCATTCCAAGAAATGGAAAACTAAAAAAACATCAATTGGTAACTCAAGGAAAAAGGAAAAGGCTGAGTAGAAAATGGGTGAAATCGAGGCAACACAGCTCAACCCAAGAAGAAAGTGGGTAGAGAGAGTGAAAGGATTAAGGTCAGATTATTATAATTCAGTTAGTTTAGAAGCAATTATTTATCTGATTATTATTATTATCATTATCGTTTCTCTTCCCTCGCAGAACAAAATAGAAACAAAGAAAAAGAAAATAATTATAGGGGTTTTTATAATATATATACGTACCGAAGCTCTCTCTCTCTCTTCACCGCAGAGCCCATAATAATATTCATTCAAGTTCGATTCGACCAAGAAGTAAAAACTTTCTCCGCCAAAAAGAAAAAGAACGAAACAAGAAGAAGAAGAAGAAGAAAAGCAAGAGGGATGTCTTCTTCAAATGATCGTCGTCAAAGGGAGATAATGGACCTGTGAGCGAATCAACCTCCCAATGAATCTTCCCTCTTTCTTCTGTTTTGAATTCAGTTTGTAATCGGGGTTTCTTTGGTTTTGAAGGATGATGAAAGATTTCAAGGTGGAGTTGGTTAATGATAGCGTGAAAGAGTTCTTTGTTGAGCTTCATGGTCCTGAAGACAGTACGTCTCTTTCTCCCCTTATTTTTCTTCTTTTTTCTTTCTTGGGGTTTCCCCATTTCGCTATTCAAACGATCACTTGTTGGAATCTCGTTCGTTGTTATTATGACGTGGGCTTTCTTTGCATAGATTCAACCCGATAGAGTTCTTCGTGTCTTAATTCATTTCCAGGTCTCTATCAAGGGGGTGTATGGAGAGTGAGAGTGGAACTTCCTGATGATTACCCTGTTAAATCTCCATCCATTGGCTTTGCTACTAAGATTTTTCATCCTAATGTCGATGGATTGTGAGCCCTTTTACTGTTTTGTATTGATGCTGATAGTTGAATTCATCTTTCTTCATATTTTGCACGGTGCCCATAAGCTATTTGAACTTGTTCTTAGGTCTGGTTCTGTATGTTTGAATCTTCTTAACCAGGACTGGAGCTCCGTATTCGGTAAATACAGCGCGCGTATCTTGCTCCTTCTTTGTGATGTAAATTTCGATATCGATTCTTCTAATTCTTGTTGTGTTTTACATGCCCTCAGATCTTGTAATGGTTTTTAAGGACTTCCTTCCACGATTTCTGAAAGAGCCCAATCCTGACGATCCAATGAACCCGGAAGCAGCAGAGCTGATGATCCACGATCGCCCTGCTTACGAGCAAAGAGTTAAAGGTGACATAACTTGAATCAGAATATCATCCTTTGTGATGTAAATGTTTAGCGGTTTTTGTACATTTGGAATGAAAATGACATGCATGGCGATTTCGTTGATCAAAATGGTGATGCAACTGTCTATTCTTCCCAACTTTTGTGCTCAAGATTTATGCCAGTGATCAAGAGCATTTCCATAGGTGTGATTTTACTATTAAAAAAAATTAGTACTTTGTCCCTGCATGATATTTGTTCATTAGGAAAGGTCAAATTATACATCTCCTACCTCCAATTTCAATTAACATTTCATATACGATGTCGGTATGCTTCCTCCAATTTTATGTTCTTCCTCATTCAAATATACTATATTATAGAACTCTGTACTTCTTTGTTAATAGAGACAGCTAAGAATTATTTTACCTTCTAGGATAAGGTCATGTGAGAACTTTCCAAGAAAGATAGGATAATTTATCTGGTCGGTAGTTGGTTTCTTCTTTATAATATTAGGCCTTTGCATATAGCATGTATATATTCATAGAGTTTAGTCAAAATACAGAGTATACGGTGCGCTGGTGGACACACATTTACTCCTAGGGTGGGCTTGAGTACTCCCCATTTTGCTGGCTTGCTTCTTGATTACATTGAGTATATACAGCATAAATAATGTATACTTATTTGTAAACGGATTAAAGTTGTAGCGTATACAATCCTGTTTCGGTTAAGCTTATTGCTACAATTTTCACGCCAAGAGATAGGTAGATGTCAACTTGACAAAGAATTGCAATAATTTTTTCCGTGAACCCTTTTTCGACTTCAATCCTTTTCAACAGGACAACAACTCACTAAATTAATTGGTGATAAATTGTTATGTTTTGTTATGTATCCCTCTCGAAATCTAATGTGCTTGAATTTTAGGATTTCGTGTGCATTTCTCTTAAATATATGTTTCATTGTGGTAACCGTCTAGAAGTTAATATTACACCATCAGTAGAGGTGGCTCCCGAATGTGCCTTGTTTATTCAACCTTGTAAAAGCTGTAGTAGCACCTGCTACTAATTTTTTTTCCTCCATGTAGGTTGCACGCAGCTTAGCCCTATTGCACACCTGAAGATCAAACCTCACAACTGTTTTTTAATTCCTAAAAAACATGTACGTACATGCTATTATTTATATTAACATGCATTGAAGAGTATAATTGAGGGTCATGCTCTTCTAAGAATAAATCCCTTGTTATGGTTTTTCAGCAAATTGTGCTAGATGAGGATGTGCATATCCGTGTTCCCTAGATCATTGGTTCATACGAGAATTATTAAATTTTATCATTGTCAAACTATGTTCTTGCTCTTGTTCCAGAATATTGTGAGACATACGCAAAGCCACAAGGTACCGGTTCTCCTGAGGAGGATACTTCAAGCAATGAAGAGATGAGCGAGGTTGAGCATAACGATGATGAGGACACTGAGCCAGGGAATCCAAATCCTTGAGAAGCTGATAAACTAAGTATAGCTCGTCTCCTCACTAACTGAAATATGCTCAACTAGTTGGCTGCAAATTGAAGTAAACTCTCTGCATCAGCACTTGTTTACTCTGTGTACATGCGTACTCGGTCCTCAGAGTGATTTCTACAATTCTTTTGTCATTGATTGACTACAACTGTGACTGGCATATTTGCCATTTGTATGCGTAGCAGATTTGATGACTTGTCTGGGTCTTAATACAGTATATGTACATGTCAAAAGAGGTAGAAAAGAAAAGAAAATTTGTGGTTACCAGGCATGTTTAACTCCTCAGCAGATGCTCCTTTTTGTGCTGAGGAAGTTGTTTCATACTATTAGCTAAATAGCAATTGTTCCCTTTCAATATTCGGCCATCTTTCTTTTTATTTTTTCCGTCTCTTTAAATATATAAAGTTTACATTGTGAATTCACAAGCAACAACTTACCGATTAAGGTTTTATTGCTGAAAACAGTTTTCGGATCAGTTTAAGTGTCATTTATCTTAAAGTGGAGAGAGACCTTTGTTACAGTTTGTTAGCATTGAGAGCTGCTGCTTCTCACTGTTAGTTTTAAAAGTTGAAGGAGACAAATTCTGAGGCGTGAAACACTTTCCTTAAAGAAATATTTGCCCCCACTTGATATTTAAAGTTGTTTCGGGTTAATGCAAATTTTCTTCCCAGGATACAACAGAAAATAAAAATTTCAGTAAGCAAATCTGGAATTTTTCTTAATTCGTTGTGAAACAAGTTTGTAATATTGCAGAAGTTTTTGATAGAAAAGATTCAGAAAAAGAATTGTAAAAAGATATCTGAAAACATAAACTATTTATAGTTTTGAAAAGGTGCTTCCAACAGTCACAACTTTTCAAAACACCCCTTAGAACAAACAGCCACTTTTCAACAGTCACTTGTCTTTTCATAATTTTTAAAATTCAAAATAACATTAAAATAAAATATATTCAATATATAATTATATATATAAAAAATAGAACATTTAAGCGGCAGCGGCAAGCGTGCAAAGTGCTAAGTGCGTCTAATAATCGCGTCAAAATCGCGCATTATTCGCGCTACCCGCACGCGGGTTTAGAAGCCTACACTTTGATCCATTATTCAAAGCCCAATAAGCATTCAATGCTTTTAAACCTCTAAAAGAATGTTCAAAATTCCAATGTGGGACTATCTTGTTTTTTACAAACAAATACTAACAATCCCCCACTTTGTTTGAAAAAACATTTTAATAGTATTATATTTAAAAATAATCTGCAATATGTACAAAATGAGATAAGTATACATATGTAGAGGTATCTTTCGATTTAAACCTTTACTTAGTACAAATACCTCAAAGTTCTATCAAAGTCGTTAGTTGCCTTAACATTAAACTAATTACTCTTTGTGATAGAACCGGAGAATATTGTACATACACTAATCTCTTGTTTCAATGAGAATTAATATTTTAGCACTGTTATGGCCTTGTGCTTATTCCTGGTTCATGAACTCTTTAAAGAACAAACCTTTAGTTCTTTTAAGAAGCGGCACCACTTCTAAGTTCATATAGGTGAAACGTCTACAATGTGTTTTCCATTACTTTAAACACACAACAATAATGTATTAGACTTTCATTAAGAGCATAACTCATCCTCTTATTCCGTAATGGACGATATTGACATTATCTTTTAGGGCTTAATGTACACTAGAGTTATGTCACACTTTATAGACCGTATCCATTTTTCATATGAAGCAATTTAATATGGTTTTTCTTTAATTCCATACACTAGAGTTATGTCACACTTTATAGACCGTATCCATTTTTCATATGAAGCAATTTAATATGGTTTTTCTTTAATTCCATTACTAGAGTTATGTCACACTTTATAGACCGTATCCATTTTTCATATGAAGCAATTTAATATGGTTTTTCTTTAATTCCATTGCTTTTTCTTTTCATAGAAGTTCATGCTTTTATTTCCATCTAAAGGATGTACATAACACATTCTCTAAGTAAGCATGTAATGAAAACTATGTCAACCATATTCAAACTTATTTTTCCAATTATATTCCTTTTGTATCATCACGAGCAAAAATAATTAAGATTCTATCAAAACTATCTTTTGGTAAGCAGGAGATGTAAGAATCATGAAATGACTATTATGTAATATGCCTAAGAAATCCTAAAAATCAAAGTATGTCATTATTGATCATGGCATAAAATTCAAATCTCACACTCCTATTTTATCGTTTAGATATTTTCAATAAAAATTAAAAGTTCATCTCAGTCACTTCTAGAAAGTTATTTTTTTAATAAGCACACAAAAGAAAAAATGATCAAGTAGACAAAAAAAAACAAGCACAATAAGAAAAAATTAATCACAATGTTTCTAAAAATATGTATAGGGGAAATATCACATTCTCGTACCACAAAGCAGTGTTGTTTTGCTTAAGGCAATATATTCTACTTCGGTCGTGGACAGAGCAGTGTTGTTTTGCTTACGACTTGACCTTGCAACTAAGGAATGTCCTAACATAAAACAAGTGCCACTTGTGCTTTCCTCTCCACGTGACTACCCGCATAATCAGCATCAAAATAAGCAGAAAGTGCAAAGCTATCACAAGATGGGTACCACAAACCAAAGTTTTGTGTGTGTATCAAATAAGTGCAAAGCTATCACAAGATGGGTACCACAAACCAAAGTTTTGTGTGTGTATCAAATACCTAAAGATTCTTTTTATCTCCTTAACATGTGAGTACCACAAACCAAAGTTTTGTGTGTGTATCAAATACCTAAAGATTCTTTTTATCTCCTTAACATGTGATTCCTTCGGTTTAGCTTGAAAGCATGCACATAGACATACAACAAGCATGATATCAGGTCTAGAGGTTGTAAGATAAAGAAGGGATCCAATCATACCTCTGTACTTCTTTTGATCGTAGTCGGTTCCATTTTTGTCAATGGTGAGCTTCATGCTTGGACTCATAGGCGTGTCACTAGGCTTTAATTTCTCCTTCCCAAATAGCTTGAGCATCTCTTTCATGTACTTTGATTAAGATATGAAAATTCCATCATCACTTTGACGTACTTGAAAACCTAAGAAAACTTTAGCTCCCCCTCCAAGCTCATCTCGAACTCATCCCGCATAACCTTTTCAAACTTTTGGTAGAGAAGATCATTAGTAGCACCATATATAATATCATCCACATAAATTCTTATTACCAAGAAGTCATCATGATCATATAGAAAGAACAAAGTATTATAAGCACACCCCTTTTAAAAATATTTTCCAAAAGATATGAATATAGATGGTCAAACCAAGCCCTAGGAGCTTGCTGAAGACCGTACAATACCTTTTTAAGTTCAAAAACATGATTTGGAAATTCAAGACTCTCAAAACCTGGGGGTTGCTCAACAAAAACCTTTTCTTTCATAATTCCATTTAAGAAAGCACTTTTTACATACATTTGCTTAAGCTTAAAACCCTTAAAATATGCAAAGGCAAGCAATATCCTAATGACTTCTAGCCTAGCACCTGGAGCAAACGTTTTATCAAAATCAATTCCCTCAATTTGGTTATACCCCTTAGCTACCAATCTAACTTTGTTCCTAATCACATTACCGTTATCATCCAACTTATTTTTGAACACCTATTTCGCTCCAACCATAGGATAATCCTTTGGTCGAGGAATGAATGTCCAAACCTCATTTCTATCAAAGTGGTTTAGTTCTTTTTGTATGGCCATGACCCAACAACTATCATTAAGTGCGGTTTTTATATATTTTGGTTCTATTTTAGAAGTAAATCCACTATAAATGCAGAGTGCACATAAGTTATTATTAAAGAATAAATGTGTACATTGGGTCATCGATAACCAGTTCTGGTGGATGATTCAGGTTATAGCTCAAGTCTTCTGGTCCAAATTCTCTTTTGAAGCATTTTGTGTGCCTTCGTCATTGTTCATAGAATCGTTAGGCACCTAAAACCTTCAGCATTGGTTCCATCTTTTTCTCCTTTGATATATTCAATGGTCCTGTGAGTTAAAGATGGATTATTAGATTCATCAAATTTCACATGAATAGATTCAGTAATTGAAAGAGTTTGTTTAAGAAAAATCCTGTAAGCTTTGCTTCTTGCAAAATATCCTACAAACACTCCTTCTACGCTTTTTGATTCATAAGTCTTTGGTTGATCACATGTGTTCAATACAAAACATTTGCACCCAAACTGTGACGCCCCTGGGTTCACACAAGGCTGCAGTCCGAGGTGAAACTAGGAATATCAAACTTACCATACACTACACCGTGTAATAACATGTTTCACCATCACAATTACTATCACTCTAGTAGAGTCAACAACAGGTGTAGGTACAAAAGCAAGTAAAAGATAATACAAGAGATATATGATGAAATAGTAGAGATAAAAATGATATTTTATCATCCAACATATAAAAATATAATGTGAATCTCTGAAATAACTAGTCTGGAGATCTCAACAAGTCTCAAATACAGAATATCTGATAAAAGGAAATAAGGCACACAGCCTTTACAACTTCTAGAACATAACTCTCAAATGTCTAAACAAAATGTCTAGAGTGAAGCTCCATAAATAAAATAAAACTACAAATGAAAGATGGACGCTAATAAATATCACCATCAACCTGCGACTCTCCGTGCACCTGGCTCGTTACCTGAAATGGGAGGGAACAACGAGCGTCAAAGCGCTAGCGAGCAACATCACAACTAACCCCAAGGGAGAGGGCTCGTTGCATATAGAAAATACAGTTAATACATATATACATGAAATCATTGATCCTAACAATAAGTGGATTTTAGTATTTAGGAAATTACAACATGAGAATAGGTACGTCGAGTGAAATAATCCAAACAATGAAACCCTCATGTATATACCTTGTATCTTAAATTGTAAATCCTTAAATACCAAACCCAAGATCTAATACAAGAACAATAATATAAAGAAGACTAACCCATCTCAAAACTCAAATACCATCTCATGTCAAAACCCACATAAGTGTCATGTCCAGCCTATGTAAGTGTAAGTGTCATACTCAAGGTTTAAATGGTGTCCAACACATGGACTAAGACTAGGTGTAGTGGATGCCCAACACATGGACTGCATATATAAATTATCCAACACATGGACTAAATGATGAATGTCCAACACATGGACTGAATATAATGAATGTGCAACATATGGATTGAATATGATGAATATCCAACATATGGACTGCACATAATAATTGCCTAACACATGGACTGAATGAAATGTGTAGAATATCGATGAGATATATGAAAAGGATGCGTATATACTAAATTCACACGTGTCTCGTTGTGTAAATCTAAACTTATGTCCGCAAAC